AAAAAAAAAAAAAAAAAAAAGAACAAGTATCACCTAGTAACAACGCCCTTCCATTATTCCATTTCGATCGTTTCGCTCTGGAAAACGGAACGAGAGTATTCCGCGGTGGAGAATGTCGCGAAAGAGAAAGGAGAAGAAAGAACAGTTTGCCCTGTTTTGTGCAGAGCCGCGTCAACAAAAAAGACCGCTGTGGAAGGGTGACGATACGTTGTGCGCTGACGGACGAAGCTGCGAATTTTTTCTAATGTGCTGGATGTCCGCTGGCCTATTGGACGGCAGTTGCGGTGGCATCATGTACGCTTGTTGTCAGCGGAAAGAACCGAAAGGTAGCTCTGATTATAACCTGATTGAGGCACCTAGAGATCAATCTCAGCCGCTTCCGTTGGATACTTACACGGAGACCGCCAATGATGATCGTAAGTCCTTCCTACAGAAGCATGCCATCCGATTCTTGCACTAGCATGATCAACCACCGCTCTCTTCTTCTTTGGAAATGCTTCCTCAATGATGTTACTCTCTCCTCTTTTTAGACAAACGGCGTTTTGTTCCATCTGTTTTTCTTTCTTTCGTCGTTCGATCTTTCCTCTTTGTCCTATTTTCACACCTTTGTTTTTTTCCATATATATATATATATTTTTTTTTTTAATTTTTGTAGTCGAACTCGAATATCCATATTTTGTTCATTTCGCTCCACTGTGAAGATTTTTGCGTTGAGCTGATTGAACTATTTGTCACGAGTTTATAATGGACGATGCTACGTATTTGTTTGTTGAAAATGTAAATGCCTTTTCAGACAGTGATGTGAGGGGAATTCGTAAAAAAATAAAAAAAATGACGTAAGAAATAAATAAATTAGCGTAAATGTACCGAATGTACATTTAAATTTTAAAAGTTATTGAGAGATAATAGAAACTGCCAAATAATAATATTGCTAAACTTTAGAGACTTTATAAACTTAGAACAGAAGATAATTTATCGCGTCATATTTCTTTAACGATAAAACTTTTATTAACTTGAAGATTGACTAAGGCAATTATATAATCTCAAGAAGTTATGAAAAGTAAGTACAGAAATAAAGAAATAAGAATAAGTTTTCTTAAAAACTTTCTTTTCGAACATTGACAAATTAATGCTCGAGAAACCTTAATTATTAAAAATCAGGGAAAGGAAATTTTTTATAGCTTCTTGAAAATAATAGAGATTCTTCCACGTTCTCTCGAGATTCTACTTTGCTGTGTTCTTTTTTTTTTTCTCATCCTACGAATACTATTACACTTACACTTTCTTCAGCATGTCGAAACATTCTTGACTTGTAAATTACTCGTTATCACTTGCACTTTCCTCAGCATGTCATCATCGAATGCCTTCACTTTCTCTGTTTGCATCTTCCAAGGTATAACAGAATGTACGCCATTGAAATTTCTATTTAAATAATTTTCCTTTTTCGATTATTGCATGTATCACGATCTATCCTCTCTCCTTTCTCACCTTATTTGCTAATCGATCTTGCATGCTCATCGTGATAACAACGGATCCGTTCCGCACTTCTTCGACGGTTCTCTTGTCACGCGAGTCCTTTGAATTTCGTTATCCACTTCCGGTTTCCCTAGCTCGCGACGAATGAATTTGTCCTTCGTCCCCTTAAATTACGATCTCGACTTTTAATTGCAAATCTCATTCTCACGCGTGGGTTTCGAATTTGATTAATTTACTGATTAATCGTGAATTAATTAATTTTTTTTTTTCTTTTCTTTTGGATGGAATCGCGTTTGGGACTTTCAAAAGTTGTCGAAGTCGCGAATTAAAATGTATAATTGCTTCGTAATTTGATCGTGAAATGTCTGAATTACTCCAAGCCTAATTCGGTAATACTAATTTGAAGACTAACGAAACCGAGAGAAAGATGTCGTTGCGGTACAAAAATGTTCGAATATACATGTTGGTTAAAATAATTAGAGGATTATTGCTATTGATCGTCCTTGTTACTAAATAAAGAAATGAAAGTGTAGAAAAGATTCTGTGTACTTAATAAGTTGTTAACAGATTTTTATAAGACTCAAACATTTTCCAAGATAATTTTGTGAGAAAATGACTGGATTTACTGGATCCTGCTGAGAATTGTTGAACATAAAATTTTATTAAAAATTACGATTGTCCTATCTACTACTAACCTAATCTATATTATTACATGACAATCTTCATATTGTTAAAAGGAAAATCTATCTCGGAGGAATAAAGATAATAATTCAAAAAAATGTACAAATACAAAGAGAGAGTACAATTAAAGTATGATAACATAGAAAATAATCCTCTAATTGTTTTGAATAGTGTATTTATACAATGAGAGTCAAAAGTGAGCATAAAAAATGAAGCACTAAATCTGAAGTAGTAATATGATAATATACATATATGGCAAATTTAATAATTATAAACTGTATGCTACCAAAGAGTCATCACAGTTCGCAAATCTCAACGTGATAAAAAATTTCTAAAAGATACTAGACAGATTTTAAGGCGTGTATGCTTAGTTTTGACTATCACCGTATATACTCCGCATATACTAACACTTCAAGAGCTGCTCGTGAATGAACACTGAAATACCGAGTGTCTCTGATTAAAGTGGAGAATCTACATCCTCGTAATTACAGGCTGCGGGATTCCCGCCTCGAAGCAAACCGCGCAGAGAAGAATCGTCGGAGGCGACGACGCAGGCTTTGGCAGTTTCCCATGGCAGGTCAGATTTCTGTACATTGACGAATCGAAATCGAATGATTTCCAGCCTCTCGTGTCGCGTTTTAAACAGAGAAAATGTTCTACTTTCTCAGGCGTACATACGAATCGGATCCAGCCGGTGCGGCGGCACTCTCGTTAATCGATTCCACGTAGTCACTGCTGGACACTGTGTAGCCAAGTAAGTAAAATATTGAACGTACGAAGATTCTACGATTTGTAGAATTTCTCGAAAATCTTAAAGGAGATGCGTGTCAATGTTTTGTAAAGCATTGCAATTATCATCGTTTCTTGGCTGATAAAGATGGATTACAAACTTTTATATATTTATGACAAATTTGAAGATGACAAGATGCATAGAAATATTTAACAGATGAAACAAATCTTTGTCTTTCAATTATTTTGATAAGATTGTTTAATTATTTAGTCATAAATATATCTGCCGATTAATATATCAACCGACTTAATGAATTGAATTACAATGTTAGCAAAACGTTAAGACACACCTAGAAATCTCGATTGTAAAAATTCTACAAGTAAACTGTTCATCAATAGTGTCTCTATCTAAGATATTCCCTTTTTTAACGTATCTCTAGGGCATCTGCTCGTCAAGTCCAAGTCACCCTAGGCGACTATGTAGTCAATTCAGCTACCGAAACTTTACCAGCTTATACTTTCGGTGTTAGAG